AGAAGACCGCCATCCCCTGGCCTATCGGCACCATTGGCGCCATAGCCATGGCACTGACCCGCTCCAGGATTACTGGCATACCCGATGCTTGCAGGGTAGCCTGGAGCAACATTGGGCTGACTAACGCCAGCACCAATGCCCTGACTGTAGACACCACCCCCAAAGGCTGGACCATAGAAACTCGAACCACACTGATTGTTCTCAACTCCATGAGAGTCGGCAGCACTACCATAGAACCCGGGTGCTCCACCAGGGTATCCCCCGCACCACTCGGGCCTTCAGGAGGTCCAGCGGGACCTTGGCCTCCGCCGGGATGTCCAGGTCCTGGTGGTGGAAATGGAGCATGTCCATGGCCACCGCTTCCGCCCCCACCTTGGCCGGATGGTCCGCCTTGCCCACCTCCTCCCCCAGGAGGAGGAGGAGGGGGCGGTCCAGCTTCAGCGCGTTCACGCCGAATATTGCAGCGCGCACATTGCTCAAGGCCGTCACTGCCAAAATGACTGTGATCCTCACAGACGTGGTTCCCACAATCCGTGCAGGAATACATTGAGATCTCCTGGGCATTTTTACGACATGCCCAACATTTCAGCTTCAAGAAGTGACAGTTACAACAGTCCCCACCGTCACCCGTGCAAAGCCTGCAAAACTCACGATTGCACGTAACACACGTGAATTCAGCGTCGGGGTGCCTACGGTCATTCGGATCGTCGAGAGCACAGATCTTCGGCGCACCTGGGCCGCCGGTACCGGGCGTACCTCTTGCGGCCGGTGCCGAGGTCCGTCCGCAATCGGATGGAGTTCCAGGGGTCCTCCAGCTATCGCCGGGACTCTGGACATCAGCATGAGCTCTGCTCCCAGGAGTCCTCCAGTCATCGCCAGGACTCTGGGTTTCAGCGTGGGCCCTACTCACCCTACCACCCCCAGGGTTACGGTTAGGGTTCGGAGAGACGCTCCCGCTATCGCGGATCGGCCTGTTCGGGTTCGGAGAAATGCTCCCGCTATCGCGGATCGTCCTTTCCCCTCTCGATTGCCGATTCCGGACCTCAGACCCCCTATCGGGGACGGCAGCAGGCCTCGGACTCCTATTCCTATCCACATCCCTGTTGGGGGAAATTGAAATGTCCCCCCTTGCGCGCGCGTGGGGGGCATCCCTTACACGCCCTGGCGGGGAATGCGCCCTTACACGCCCTGGCGGGGAATGCGACCTGTCAGGCAGTCCCCGAGCTCTTCTGCTTCTGCTGTCAGCCCTCTCCCTATCGGGATGAATGGGATGCCTGTCTGCACGAGAAGGGTCGACCCTATCGGGCACATTTGGCAAAACATGATCAGTCAAACCAACACCCCCGCCCGGTCTTACCGGAAGGCCAGTACCCCGACCGTTACCTTGTCCAGGAGTGGGCGTCGGAGACCTGATCCTATGTCCCTGTCCAGCAAAAGCATTGTACCCAACATTCCGTCTTTCTCTGGGTACTTGAGGATTCTGCTGATTTTCCTGGACACCCTGAATAATGCCAGCGGCCTCATCAACATGACCTTCAATATCAGAAAGCTGAGCCATGATTCTGTTGTTCATTCCATTAAGAGTACGCATGTTACTCTCGACTGTGGTAATTCTCCGCATTGCGCCTTCCAGCGTGTTCCGAAATGAATCGAGTTCACGCCTAACGGCAGACCGTGCTTGGTCACTACTCGCAGGGAGGTTACGGATCTGCCTTGTGATGTCATCAAGGACCCGGTTCAGAATTCCCGATCTCGCTTCGTACTGCTCAACGTGGGACTTCACGGTCTCAAACCTCGCAATGACATCGTCATGATCCCGACGTTGACGTTGAACTCCGCGAGATAGATCCTGGACCTTCCGATTGACCTCGTCAATTGCTTCGTGCCAGTCCTGCGGGGAATCAGGCCCTGATGGTCTATCGACCGCCTGGGACCCCCTCCCACTTTGCAGCCTCGACATTCGATCAGCAAGAATGATTTGTTCTTCATTAATACCACCAATAGATTCGGAGGCCCACTTAGCAAACTTCTCGTGTTCAAGAAGGATCTTCTCGAGCTTCAGGTTTAGCTCCCTGAAATTCGCGTTCGCCCCACTGCTGGTAGCCCTATCGGGCAATTGCGCAGCGGGGCTCAAATTCCATTCACCTGCCGGCGTCCGCATCCCAACGGTTTTCTCTACCGAGAACATCCGCCCCTCAAGCTTGTCTAAGTCCTTAAGGATCTCATCCTCGGAAGCAGCATGGCTCCTGCGGGTGGCCTCACGATTCTCCTGAATGACCTGACGAAGCTGGCTAGTTGCGATTTCATTGTCCTTAACAGATTCATGAACCTCGTGGGAAAGCAAATTGATCCTCTGATGCACGACTTCAGCCTGTTCATCGATGGCTTGCCTCACAATGGCCCTGCTATCCGGGACGATCTCACTGGCAAACCGCTGAACTATCATTCGCATCCTACCGGCATCAGATTGTGTCGCAATCTCAGTGGCCAAACGATTGACCCTGTCCTTCGTCTGCTGATTCTCGTCGCTCCACTCCTTTCGCATGGAACCCACCTGACCGTTCAGTAACCTGATTTGGTCAGCAAAGATATGGAACGCTTTTGCGACTGAACCAGACACCTCACCCCTTTCGAGCATCTCCTGGATGTGCAAATCAAACACCTCCTTTGCCCTGGCGTCACCTGATTCACCGGAAGAATGGGACCTGTGCGCTGGAGGAGTCGATATCTCGATCCTCTCAGGAGCCCCACTAGCTCTAGCATGTCTTCTGGGGTCGCCTACAGGACTATCACCTATCCTTGATGGCCTACTCGGGGTAGATCCCCTTCTCCGGCTATCGCCAGCTCGGGGATCAATCTTGGATGCACGAGACTCAGGAGTGGAGTGGATATGAACATCAGCAGGATCGAACATCTCCTCATCCTGTTGAGTTGAACCTAACGGTGAAGGGCTAGCCCTCCTCGCCTTAGACCTATCGGTCTCAATGGCCAGGGGTGACGGCCTCTTCGCAGAAGCGCTACGCTCCCTGGCGGTCGATCCCCATTGAGGTGTGAACTCGTTGCTGGACCTTAGCGTTTCGATGTCACTGGGATCTCGCCCTAACGGGCTAGCGATCGACGGACGATCCTCGATTCCGAGTGCATCGGCAAGCCGACCATCTCTTGCACCTGTCCCAACGGCATCGGCAGCCCGCTCAGTGATCCTCGACGAACCAGTAACCCGGTTCGAGTTCTCGTCTCTCTGATTCAACGGACCTCCAAATGTAATGTTGGGAAAGGGGGGAACATTTGGGGTATCACCAATCACTGGGGGACCTATCGGTCCCTCCCTGTCATGGATGGCCTCCAATCCCCGAAGAACTTCCCGGCTATCCCTGGCTCTCTCCCTCTCGCTCCGGGCGTCCCTGTCAACACGAAGGTCCCTGGTAGCTCCACGAGAGAGGCTCCTGGGCCTCGCAGCAGCACGGATTCTTGCATTCCGGCGTGACTGGTCCTCCTGCTCATCCGCAAAATTGTAGTCTTCGCCATCATCAACCTCAAACTTGGCAGCGGCAGGGCCAGGCCTTGCAGCAGCACGGTTTCCCGTATTTCGGCGCGAACGGTCCTCCTCTTCATCCGCAAAATTGTAATCTTCGCCATCATCAAATTCAGACTTGGCAGTATTAGGGTTGGGCCTATCGGCATCAGATCCCTGCTTTGAGCTACTGCCCCAGCCTGCGGTTGATTTCAACAGAGCATCGTATCCGAAACCTGTGAATTTCCGCTCCTCGTGCTCATCAAACTGACCTGGATTTTGAGAACCAGTGGATCGACCCGAGATATCTCTCGGAGCCAAAACCATAGTCCCTGGTCCTTGCGGCCTGTCCTCAAACTCATCCGAGACCTGCGATTCACCTGGAACAAGAGATCTCGGGGGTCGGGTCGGCATGGCCTCCGGGTCGTCCGAATGAGGGTGGGCCATGTTCATCGCCATGCTGATGAAGTCGAACTGTCCGCGCCTGTGACCTGATTCAGAGCCGCTCCTATCGGAGCGAACCCTTTGTGCCTGCTCATCATCAGTGGCCTGACGGAAAATGCGCTCGTCTCCATCGTCGGTGTACCTGCCACGGCTTCTGGGTGTGTCCCTACCGGGATCCTCACCCCTGCGGTCCTGACCTGTCGAACCTGCTTCGAAGTCTTCGTAGTCAAAGTCCGGTAGGTCCTCACCTAGGATGGCCTCCTCATCCACGACGCTCCTTCGGGATCGTGGGGTCGACATAGAGCTTGTCGGTCCCAAAGATCAGGGTTTCCCACACACCAGAGAACAACAACCAAAAGGGAAATAAACCAAAGTAGAAAAGGATACCCGCAACCTAGATCGACGATGAACCGCACGGGCAATCCCCACCAACCTACCCCGGGCCGAAGTCTCTTTCTCCTCCGACACGAAGGCGGTCGACGTGAGGGCCCGGCGACGCTCATCCGAGGCGCGCCGGATCCAAAACTTGAGCCAAACACCACCGGTCAGTCACTATCGCGACATCCCTGATGATGGTTTAAGACATGGCTAATCACAGCCCCTTATGTCTTCCAAGCATCTTCCCAGCACAAGTGCAACATAGGGCCGTTGCTGCAACCCAGCCGCGCTGTGTGTCTTTCCCTACCCGTAGATCGCACGGCTGACGTGTTTTTGTTGTTTCTCCACAACCTCCTCCACAGCATCCCCTGCATCATCCAGATGGCTATGCTGCAGTGTCATAAGCACATGCGCAACCAAACTCACAGCAGACATCGCAGAGCAAACCAAGTGTGGTGTCCGGCATCTGGAGCCCCCATCCCTATAAGCACCCAAAGCGTTTTTCAGCCAAGTAAATGCCAAGCCTGACAGCCCGCGGCTCAGAGAAAAACGCGCGAGACCCAAGGAATCAAACAACCGCGCGCTGGTCGCAAGAGAATGCTTCGAAGGCTGAACATTCCAGACTAATGACCGTGCGGAAAATAAATGGCGAGTGGACAATTTATGTTGAAATCAAACGGCTGTAAAAGATAAAGAGGTAGACCGTAGCCACAAAAACAGAAATGCCGAAGCTCTAAGAGCAACGCCAGAACCATTTGGGTTCCGTGACGGAAAGGGGAGCAGTTTAGCCAACCTGGCAACTGACCCCCGCTTGGCCGGCTCCTTCAGCTCAATAAACTTCACGGGCTTGGGGAGGTCCTCTGGGCGACACTTGGACTGCACGCGTTCCCACAGTTCCTCTTGCGACTCTGAGGGCTTTTGCTCCAGGGTGAGAAGCAACGAGCCTCTCACATCTTTCGCATCTTTCAGCTTTCCATCGAATTCCAATCGCAGCATCTCAGCCAACGCGCACGCCAGCTTTGGGTTAAAGCCCTCCTCCACAAGGGCGGGAAATCCAAGACAAAGGCGGAATTGGACGTGTAGCAGCTGCAACAATTGATAGGGTTCGAAGTCAGAAGTTTTGAACTCTACGAACGCCCCATCAGTCAACAAGTCTGTCAACAAGTCTGTAGAGCTTTCCATCGAGCGCACAAACCTCTGAAATCTGCCCTCAGTCATCTTGCTCAGGTCCTGCAAGCAATCGTTCAAGTTGAGTGAATTTTGCAAGTCACGGTCCACCGACGGCGGCCATGATCCATTGGGTGACGTCACGCCGATAGTCAAAACACGTCCTCTGTTACCCTTGAGAAAACAAAACATGACGGGCGGGCGAACTGACACTGGACACCTGGCAGAAAAAGCTGCCTGCTCCACAGCGGTTTGGGTCCAAGAATGCTTCAACAACGTCAGCCCCGGGTCGAATTCTCGCAGCCTTTAGAGATTGAGATAGTCGTATGTCTCTGCTTCTGATACTTGCTTCTGCAGCGCTTCCAAAAAGTGTTGCCGAACATGAGCAGGCGCACTCTCACCGATATGCGTCATGAGGTGATCCTCAAACTCGCTCAGGTCTTGCGGGGCGTTCTTCCAGTTTATGTCAAATGTCTTAGACTTCGGGTGGAAGGCGCCGTGCTTCCAAGCCATACACCTGCATCGCCAGGTGGTACCGCCCGACAGTGCGCAGCATCACCTCATCACACCAAGTACCGATTGTCTGGGATCAACCTGCCTGGGATTGCCCCAGTTCTCTCCCTCCCTGAACATGATTGCCTCGATTTGCCTGTCCAGCTTCTCACTGAAAAGCTCGAAGCTGGCGTCCTGTGGCAACCTGCCATCTGTTTCCTTGCCGCTCATCAAGCGGCATCTCCACACTATCTTCGCGTCTGTCAATTCTATGTTGGCAGTGAGTGCCTCAGTCCTTGCTGGCCGGAGGATCCTGATGCCTTCTCCATGAGCCAAAATGCGCAATCTGTGAAAGGTAGTTGAGCAGCTCCCAGAACGTATTGACTTTGGGTTCCGCCAAGATAGTTTACGGAGGCCTCGCTATCCCCATAAAAGCCAGGAGTGATCCCTTTGCTGAAATAGGCAAACAAGGGACTTTGGGCACTGCCCAAGTGCTGCTTTCGGGCAGTGACCAAGTAGCTACTGGCACAGAGTGCAAGATTGTTCCCCAGGGAAACGTGCGCTGACACTCTTTGTTGCCGCTTGTGCAGTACATAGTGACACTATGGGAAGTTCGACCGAATTGGGAGCTGCCAGCAGTGTCCCTCAAATCTCAAGAGCAACGCACGAGACACAACAAGTCAAGAAAGCGATCTGAAGCGCGCATGCATTCAGAACCTATTTGCCCCGTGGAAATCATGAGGTTCAAGGGCACTGGGCTGCGACGATTCAAGCACGTGTGATGCTTTTCGACAGCTCCGGGGCTCTGGGATGACACGCGGGCTTACAGAACCGATCTCTCAAGCTTCTACGAAGACTTCTTGAACAAGCTCTCAGGTGAAACACCCATCAATTGGGGGCCGTCGCCTCAGGGATGGAGTCTGCTGCGGTTCCACCGTGATTTCCCAAAAGTAGCCAAATCAGGGCGAATGAGCCACATCCACTCAGCGGTCCTAAGCCTTGCACAGCTCGACCACAGTGACCAAGTTGGCTGCCAGACTCGCTCCCAAGCGCTGTCACGGCAGCCCATCCGCACATCCTGGCGTCTCCCAGCTGATTTGTGACTGTGCACAAACAGCCTGCCCAAACTGGATTAGGGCAGGTGGCTTGGCTTGCTCAAATCATGTCATTTTCAAGAAACCAGGCTTACCGGGGCTTAAGACAATGAGTGGTTGGAGGCAAAGTGGGCGACAAATTGGGGATCAAAGAAATCTGCCCGAAGCACCATCATGTGCGCCTGTTGAAGGCTTCCTTGAACCTGCAATTTGCTCCAGCCCTAGCTCCGCTCGTCCAGACATAAAGCATGGAGGAAAGCATAGAAGTCGTCCCGGGTTGGGTGATAAATTTGCTTGAGGCAACACGGGCAGCCATCACCAACAGCGCAAATGTGACTTGTTGAATCATATTGCCGCAAGACCCTTTGCAAGAACGTTGCTCTTCTCACCAGCATTCGGCTCGGATTCGTCCTGCCCCCCCAAGTGGGCCTGGCACAAGGCTCTCAGCCCCTTGCTTGAAGCAATCCCTGCTAGCATTCAACATGCTTTACACATCTTACACATTCCTGCTTGCTCAACGCAAGGATTGCTTTAGAATTTAGAACCATGGCTACGGCGTCCGGCCTCTCTGGCCCAGTTCTTTGGCCCAGTCTATCTCTTGCCAATAGCTTCGACAAGCCGCGCGCCTTGAAAATGAAATGAACCTTCACTAAACTTGCAACGTGTTGGAACAAATGTCAGCTCATGTAATCGGCGATATTCGGATGCGCTCCTTCTCCAGTCAGTGGCAAACCCAGCCTGTCACCCTGGCAGGCAGCGAAGAGCGCCCGGTGCCCATCGTGCTCTGAGGTCGATGGCATGCTCATTGCCTGGGTCAAAAATGTCTCCAAGGACTGGTGAACAGTGTGACAGCGGCATGGCAAAGGATGGGCGACATAAGCTGCCCAAAGGACTCTCCAAATGTGAAGTCATTGTAAACTTGCGACGTTGGTAACCGGCCAGTGACGAAACAAACATAGCCCCGTGGGTCGATGTCAGTCTTACTTTCAATGTCCTCGCCCCCACACAATCTTTGCAAGCTCATCCAAGGCGCCCCTCCTCATAGTGCGTGGTTTGAGGCCAACCATTTTCTCGTCATGGCCAAAGCTCCTGTCAGACTGGCCAACTGTCTGATCCAATGCAGCACTGGCAGCAAAGAGATCGCTTCTAATCATCGCCCAGCAATGCTAAGCACTACTAAATCAACTGGAACTCCAAGTCCGAATTGTGATCAAATAGTTGGTGGGCGCTCAATCACTTGAACCGTGATTTACTTAGTGCAAGCACATATGCTCTTTCCTACGCCCACATCTCACGCTAGGCGCGCTGCTCGCGCGTACCTGGCACTGTGTGCGGTTTGCACTCAGAATTCCAAGGTGTTTGCCACCATGTGCCACATTTGGTCTGCCAAGGACTTGGCTGGGAGAGCGTCATGCAAGCACAAACAGCCCCACCTCAATTCATAGCACTCAAGCCGAAGCTCTGAATCCACAAATGGCCTTGGGATGGTCGACACTGAAACTCTGAATGAACGTGTTGCTGACGCAAACCGTGTAATCTCCGATTTGAAAAAGTTGTGGAGGAGCCGTGCTCTTAAGCAAGAGCTGTGTGTGTGTGTGTGGGTGTGTGTGGGTGGCACGAGTCAACGCTGGCAACCAAGGCACAGCGCAATCTCCGTACGTCTCATCGTCTCACCATTCGGAGCTCACATGAATGTTTCTCCAAATGGGGGACCCAGCTTTTTCCTTTTGAGCCCTTCAAAAAGGGGTCCACCATTTTGAGAACCCCCCACATAATGAACACTGGCTTCGAGGTGTAAGAGCACGCACACAACAAAGAAACTCACGCACAAAAGCACGAACACGCGCGCACCCGCACAACACACACACAATCACACTCGCACACATACACACACACACACAAACAAACAAACACACACGAACACGGGAACACACAAACACGCACAAGCAAGCCAGCCAGCCAGCAAGCAAGCACGCCAGCAAACAAGCACGCCAGCAAAGCAAGCACGCAAGCAAGCAAGCAAGCACGCCAGCAAACAAGCACGCCAGCAAAGCAAGCACGCAAGCAAACAAGCACGCCAGCAAAGCAAGCACGCAAGCAAGCAAGCAAGCAAGCAAGCAAACAAACAAACACAAACACAAACAAACACACACACACACAAACAAGCACAAACAAGCACAAACAAGCACAAACAAGCACAAACAAGCACAAACAAGCACAAACAAGCACAAACAAGCACAAACAAGCACAAACAAGCACAAACAAGCATACCTAAATGCAGACACACACGACAACACGCACAAGCCCATGCATAAGCGAGCGCGCACGCCTGCACGGTCCAGCTTCCATTCCTTCCATTCCTTTCAATGGCCTCATTTAGGCGAATGGCAATACTAGTCCTTTGCACACAAAAGGGCCACGGATCTCGCACCTCACCAAGGCGCTCCCAACGTTTTGATGGCTCTCAAAATACGTCCAAGACTTGATTTGTCGCGGTTTATTTCTTACGTCGTCCTGAGGCGACGCCAGCTGAGGTGGCCGCTCCCATAGCCGCACAAATACCCTCTCTCGCTGCTAGGCCTCCGCGGCCGGAACAAATGCACACAGGATTCTGAAGGATATCACGGGTGTGCGTGTCACCTTGACAGAATCAGGCGCAATGAAACATCCAACAAACGTCATGCAATCATGCAACAATAGCTTCTGCCCCCGTGTCAACACTAGTCCAGACGGCTCAGTCTTTTGGACAAGTTGCAAGCACGGAAAACAGGAGCAGCTGCAATCTGGCATGAGCCCTGTTCCACACCAGGCACATGCTGCTTAAGAAGCTGGCCTGCTGGTCACTTGAATGTCTTTGCAAACGACCTGCAGCTCAAATCTTCCGGGCATCCCTACCCGGCTGGGCGCTTGAAGTCCTGCACACGTGTGGCTGAAAGCTCAATGGCCTCGCTCAGTGCTTCAGCCTGACCGTCTCACAGCAATCCTTCTGCACCATGCTCGCAGGTGAATCACGGTTGGAATGGGCATCCTGTGAAAAGTCCGTCAGTTGTGTAGTCTTCAAAGGCGATACAACTGAAGTTGCAGCACTTGGCCCTTTCATGGATAGTGCGCTTGTCGCTTGGAAAACACAACGCTCTTGTGAGTTGCGTGCGGGTGGGTTTGAAATTATGTGCCTTCTTGAAACACGCGCCACGGTGTCTTGACAGTACCGCTGCACTCCGTATTGTGATCAATGCAACACCACGGCCGTTTTCAACTGCAAATCCAATCCCCACAGGATAATCTGAACAAGGCTCTGGCCAGGATAAATGAATCCAGACCAGCACACTTGTTTGCGTGCTCCTCAACACCCCTCGGGAGCACACTCCCCCTTAAAAGTCTCCTGCATAGGCCTATGCTCCTGCAGGCTCAAGCTAAGGTTCTCCTCCTTATCCACGCGCGAAATCCGTTCAAAAGAGGTCTGCTGTGGTCTGGCAGGTTCACTTCATTGGCCTCGGAAGCCTCTCCTCCATCCTCAAGGCATTCGGGCGTCCCATCCATGACATCTTGGGCATCGACCTCCATGTCTTCCGGGCCAGCCTGACGTGGCACATCTGAGCCATCAGTGCCCCCAGTCTTGGTACTTTCTGCATCGCTGGCATCCTTCGCCTCATGGCACTCATCCTCATCGGCAGAGCCCATGTTATCGTCATCCACGATATTTGCACCTTCATTGCCCGCTTCGCTGCCAGAATCCCAGACATGGTTGGTTTCGTGGCAATCCGCCATTTCGTCGGACCTTGGGTCGCTTTGCAAGTCATGGTCTGGAGGCTGCAGGTTATCCAGGCCATCCTCCAGCTCGTGCTGCAGCTCGTCCAGCTCCTCAAACATCTGCGGCTCTTCCTGCGGGCGTTCTAGCTGTGGCTCCTGCGGCTCCTGCGACGCCTGTTGCTCCTCCGGTCCTCGCCATGTCACATTCGAGACATCGGGGCCTGACGGTAGTGGAGCTTCGATCGCACTCTGACTCGTACGGCCAGCATCAGCAACCGTGTCCATGATGAGCTTGCGCAAGCCTCAGCAAATGCTTACAATGTGGGGAATCACATCATCTCAAACTTCCCAACATAGCATGCAACACATAGAGGAACTTCGTTCGTGTGAACGCTGAGCCACCTACAGCCAACCCAAACAGTCCAGCATCACATCGCCCAATCCAGCATGAGGCATGAGTCACAACATCACACGACAGCTTAAATCACCGCTCGAACACCCCTGTCATGCGCGCAAGAACTGAGCAATATAGGACAGAGAAAAACAAGCGAAGCTGTCTGTGGCAACAAAGGGAACCGTTTCCACCGCGCAACCAAGGGAGCGCGGGCTGAGCATGTTCACGGCTTTTCAGCAGAGGACACGAGCGAGTTTGCAAATGAAAGCTCTCATAACGCAAGGCAACATGGGCGTGTCTTTTTTAGTGGACCCCTAACATGGTGGGCTTCCCTTGGGTTTCCCTTTCAAAACCAATCACAGGTGGTACCCTCATAAAAAGACAGACCCACATCCAAACGAAAGGCGGAAAGGCAAAGGAGCTGTGATTGGGCACCAAGTTCTTGTGTTGGAGTTGCTCACCTGTAATCGGCGATGTGGCCTGATCGCGCAGCCAACGCTCAATTTGAGCACGGTCATAGGTGTGGCCATCTGCAGTGATGACTGGATCTTCCATCACCTAGGCTGGCCATCCAAAGCCTCATGGGTGGAAAAAATGTGAAAAAAGGATGGTAAGAACGCAAGCACACGTTCAGGCAAGCCGCTTGCTGAGAAATTGGGCAAAGAAATTCGTTCGGGACCTCGCTCGCCTGTGGGGCGGCCTCCATCGGAGTCTCCAAGCAGAAATTCTCCTTCTTCACTGCCAGATCCTCTCCCCGACAAGGGCGGGGCGTGAAGGCAAAAGGCAAAGGGCATGGCGTGCGTTTTACTCAGCCTTTCAAACGCGGCCTGTACGCCCGAGACTCACGCAAATGCGCCGCTTGCTCTGGTTGCCAGCATTTCGATCGCCCCCGAACGTAGGTTTCGATGTGAGCCACAAACAAAAAGAACAACGTTAACTGCTTAGCTTCACGGTCCTTCAACTCCTGCCACATCCCATTGCGCTCCACCAGGCTTCTCAAAGCCTTTGCAGCCGGTTCCGCGCAAGCCGCGCACAAAGCTTTCAATGCCTCACTCTCCCTGCCCTTTGCAAATAGCCTCACCATGGACTGCTCCAGTCGGATCACAGCTCTGTTCACTAAACTCTTCATGCTTGCCTCCAGTGCTGCCAGCAGCTCACTCAACTCGTCCCCAAGAAAGGAACAAGCGCTCTTGAACATGGTGGCGCCTTTCCCTGTCACCTGGTCCCGGATGATCTGCTTCTGGCGAACGTCCGTTCCCGTGCCGCTGACGTTTGCGGCCTGGTTGTAGCTGGGGATCATTAGCTGCTTCAAAGTGTCCTTGATCTGCCGGCTGAGCTTCATCTGCCTCTGCTGCACCGTCATCTTCATGGATTGCGACTGGCTCCGCAGCCAGGCGGCAGTCTCGTCGAAGGCTGGCTTCGGGAGGCGATGCGTCTGCTGAAATGCCATGAGCTCAGTGCAGAGATTGTCCAGCGCGTGTTGCACACACTGCGGGAGGAATCTATTCAGCACCCCATCCCACTCTACAGCGATCGCTCGATTCAGCGGGTCTGCCAGCATCTCATTGAAGTTCTCTCGCCACTCCCCCTCGCGACGGCAGGTGGCTTTGAAAGTGCCCCAGTGAAGACCGCCCTGGCCCTGCGGGCGGCACCGCTGCTCGAAGCTCACAGCAGCGGCCTCCGTGGCTTCCCGCTGTCCGACTCCAATGCGCTCCAGGAGGCTGGAGTTCATCTTCAGCCACGCCTGCCTGGCACAACTCTGGACAGCGCCGTCCATGACCTCCTGCACCTTCTCGCGAATCTCCGCCGTCCAGCGCTGGGTGAGATCTTCTTCCTCAATCAGAACCAGTCAAGGTACGGAAGCACAAGGTACTGCACGGAAACAAACCATCAAGAGATCCAGAGCCTGCAGTGGCCTCCAAAGCCGGTGTTTTAGCCAAGACACTTCTCGAGCAACGGCGTCACCAAGCCTCCGACAAACAGATTTCACCTTCTCCATGGTGTTCTGGATTGCGGCCAGGTCTGCCTTTTGGCCTTGCGCGTGTAGCCAAAGCCTCAACGCCGGGATCTCCGTGTCCTGCCAAAAACGCAAGGCGCCTGCTGAGCTGAAGCACAGTTGCCGACAGCGCTGCTTTCACACACACACAGACACACGCACGCACACCGCGCCTCGACTCGGGACCAAACACGAGCTGCGCCATCCACTTTGGTGTCAAGCAGTCCGCGTAGCTTCTGGTAGTCACGCGCCGAGGTGGTGAAGACCGCAGGGAAGATCCCCCGGGCTCGCAGCTCCTCGTTGCTGCTCCTGGCGCTGTCACCCTGGGACTGGATGCGACGGACCCCCGACAAGGTGTCCGCAAGAATCCGCTGCTTTGTTCGGGTGTTGCGCATCATGGCAGCTTCGTGCTGAGGCACTTCGTCGCCAACCTTCAGGTTCTTCCGCAGCTCGGACAGTGTCAGATCATCCGTGCAGGTGGCAACAAAGGCCAAGTTGCCGGCATAGTGACCATCCATCAGCAGTTGTCGCCGGAAGCGTTCCCCAAGCATCTCTTGCGCAACCTGCGCAGGAATCAACTCACAGCGTTTGTTCTTGGCGGGACCTGACAAATTGTGAGTAGCGTAGCTAATCGGGCTGCTCAACAAACAGCGCTCCTCTTGCATGAGTGTCTGGCAATCCCACTTTTGATAAATGTCTTCTAGCTGGCCAAGAATTTCTGGACAGAGTCCTATCAACACTGGAACTTTCACTCTCTTTGCTGTGCTGCGCGAGGAAAGGAGTCTGCAAGACTGCCAACAGCGTTACGCTTGGACAGACCAAGCATCAACCGTTAACTTCCATCAAGCCATCAAACACTCACTCTCACATCCTCAAATTGCTGAAGACCGGAGAATCTTTCCGGATCAAGGCCTTCTCCGTGGCTGCACGCTTGATGGCCGACACTATGACCACACCGCCGGCGTCTTCCAGCAGCTGCTTCACCACAGAAGCCCGTGCAGAGTTGGACTCCTGGACGCCTGGCGCATCGACAAGGACCACCCGGGGGTGACACTGAAACGGCCCACGGATGCGAACTTTCCGGACCAAGGGCCAGAAGGCTGCCACGTGTTCACCATCTGGGCTGTCAACGAAATCCAAGATCTCACTGGTGAGCTCGAAGCTGCGCGTGTTCGAAAACTTCAGAACTTGGGACGCGCGGTGCTGCCTGGTCACCCGGTTGGTTACGCGGCTCAATTCGCCAAGCGCCGCCTGCGTGTTGGGCCATGGGTGAAAGTTGTCAAAGGCGAGCGGGTAGACGGCGCGCAGAGTGTCATAGGCCAGGGCTGCTGGCGTTGGCTCGCCACCACGCACCGGCTCCCGCCGGGACACCCGGACGCGGTCAGACATGAGAAGATCTCCCAATAAGGTTTCCACTTCGTCCCTCCATTCAGAGCAGCTCTTCAGATAAGCTTCCCCGACGAAACTTTGGGCTTCAGGGTCGGGAACCAGCTCCACGGGGACAGCAGTGCAAGAACGCCACCCTGAAGTTGGCACAGTTTCTTGGCACAGAACTGCATTCAGAAGGGTGCTCTTTCCGGCACCGGTGTTCCCGAACAGGGGAATATGCACTGGCTCTGGCACCATGGCTGCATTGGCGCCGAATAGCTCTTCCAAGCACTCGTTTGCCAACTGCAAGGCTATCCCAGAAGACGGCTTCGCCTTCAAGATCTCACTCTGCTCTTCCAAGGTGTTGCGCAGCTGGCACACGCTCTCGCGGATTTCTTCGCTCAGCCTCCGCAGCCTCTCCCGCTCCTCTGCCATGATCTGCAAAGTCTTGTCTTCTCTTGCCTCAGCTCCCTCAGCTCCCTCAGCAGCCTCAGCCACAGCGACCTCAGCGACCTCTACTCCGTCTTGAAGCGCGAGCACCAGTTCCTGCGTATCACGCGGAAGCACCTCTGTCTGCCTTGCGCACCTCTCGGCCGCAAGCTTCAGCTTGGCAATGTGACCCGCAAGCTTCTTGCCTCGGAACCAGCCACACGCCAAGTGCCAATGCAGCTGCAATGCAGCTCTTCATTCAGAGCACCCAAAAGGCACCAACTGTTTCCAAATCAAACACAACAAGACTCTGGCTACCTGTAACCCAAGCGTCGTGGGAGCAACTCGGCGCAGCCAATTTCCTTCAAATCATTTTCTGAGAGCTGGCTGAGTGTGGCTCCATCGGTGTCGCAAAACAGGGGCAGCCAACGCTCCAGGGACAGGGACTTCAAGAAGTCGGCAACTTGTCGAGTGTCCCTTGGGTGCACGGTCAACAGCTTACTTGGCCTCAAAGCATGGGTTGGAATTGCTGTCTGCCAAGCTTTGTGTAAGGGAACGTGATTAGAACGAAACTCATATTGGTAAACAGCTTGGCAGACAGATTCCAGCCTGCGCACAACTAGTCCCAGCGTCCAAGCGTAGATCTCAGGGCTTGCATCTGGCTGCAACTCTTCTACTGGGCGCTTCGTGCCAGAGTCCCGACTCATGGCTGGAGGGGCACGAGCTGCCACGAATAATCTCTGCCACGTCCATCCGTGTTAAGGGCTTCTGTCGTATGTTGCCTGCTCCTACCATATTGTACTTGCTTGACAACCTCTGTGTGTGTGTGTGTCACCACTGTTTGCCAAAGCTGGCCTTTCCACACAGAAATCGGTGTTTTCCCGCATGAATGGCAAACGGCTCCCAATTTTCATCTCGGTGGTAGCACTGGATGCGCCCCCAAGGCGGAGTCAACATGGTTGGCCTGTGAGGCATGTGCGCTCCAACTAGCCTCGCCAGGAAGCATGCGGCATGAATGCTCTGATCTATCACACTCTTTGCCCGCGCATTTTCAGTCAAGGCGAATGAACTAGCAACAGGCCAAGTTGATGTCACTTGCTTGTTGTTTCGCATCCACTCAGTGGTCACAAGCCTTGCACAGCTCAACTAAAGCCTAATCACTGCGGCAGCCCATCCGCACATCATTTTCTTTTTTCGCTGACGTCTTTTGCTTGCCAACCTCAGACCGTGCGCAAACAGTTTAGCTGCCAAGATTGGACGAGGACAGGCTGCGTACTCAAAGCATGACAATGTTATTTTCAAGCAACCCGCCTTACAGGGGAGTAAGAGCATGAGTGACTGGAGGGGGGGCTTTGCCAAAAACAAAAACGGGGGATCAAAGAAACCTGCCCGAAGCACCATCAGCATGTGCGCCTCTTGAACGCTGCCTTGAACCTGCAATTTGCCCCAGCCCTAGTTTGAGTTGTAGAAGTCGTCCTGGGTTGGGTGATGGCTTTGCTTGAGGCAACACAGGCAGCCATCGCCAACAGCGCAATACATACAACTCATACGCCTTCTTGAATATGCCGCAAGACCCTTGACAAAAATGCTTCCCACCGCACTCGGCCCAGATCCGTCCTGCATCGCAAGTTCTCAGCTCCGATACTTGAAGTATACGCTGCTAGCATTCAGGACGCTTTACGCGCTTTACACAATCTTGCGAGCGGCCCTGGTTGCTCAGAACAAAGGTTGCTTTAGAACCATGGTTACGGCGTCCAGCCTCTGATGTTTTCTTCTCTGGTCCAAGTGCCCAGCCACGTGCTGCGGCGATGTGGGCATGATCCCTGCCTTGGTCAAACAGTGTCTCCGAAAAACACTGCACAGTGGCACAGCGGCACGGCAGAGCGACGACAGCGGCACAAGCTGCACAAAAGACGCTTTATTGTAAACTCGGGGTACAAACTGTTGCGCACCCTTTCTCGATGCGTCTTGAGCCAACGGTCCGGTCGGCCATTCATGTGGAAACTCGAGCACTCCCCTGCGCCCTTCTTAGTGTCGCCGGTTCATTTTCCCTCACGATCTTCCGCTCTGTCGGTTCACAGAGGTGCTTGCTCCCGTCGGTTCACGATCCCTGACAGCGAGCCTCCAAACAGAGGGGTCCTCAGGCCTGGTTGCCTTCCGGTGCGGCTGGTTCATTTTCGTGCCATCCGGGAATTTTGGGCTTCTACGGACAAGCCCTGGTTCAGTAGGAATCAGGTCGCCAAACTTTTTACGGAATTGGTGGCTACATCGAAGCCATGGTTATGGGAGACTCCCTCTGCGCTGTCCTAGACATCACCGAGGGAGGGCGCTGGCGTGTGATCTACGGAGACAACACGGCGGCTTTAGCAATCGTGCAGGGAACACCGGGTAACAAAACCTCGAAAGCCACGTCCGGTCCGTACCGACACCCGCAACAGCTCGCCCACCAGCCCCTGCGCGTCTCGGATCCTGCGTGATCACCGGGTTCTCGGGGGATGTCTGACTTTCTGAACGGTACCGGCTCCAACCATCACCTCATGGCGCTGCATAAGCTCCGAGATCTACACGAAGGGTTCTTCTGTCCTCATCCCCCTTCAGCTCCATCCCGCAGAACTTCGTCCATCCCGATTGGTGCACAGATTGGTGCACAATTCTCTTAAGGACGTTCTCCAGTACGGATGTAGGTCCCACCGCCAGAAAATCATCCACATAGATCACCAGGTATCCCGTTTTTCCAGGCCGTACGGACTAGTATCCAAGCCGTACATTGCTCTTTGAACCAGCCAACGCTCCGATGCCTTGACGACACGCCTCCACCAGCACCTTCCAGGTGCCTTGTAACGAGAATCTATCTTGTCTCCTTGCGAGGCGCCAGCAAAAAGGGACACTTCACGTCCACCGTTGCCAAGGCCCACGCCCACTGCTCATGGGCTGCCTTTCGTAGAACACTCCTCGAGCAAGGCAGTTCCACCGATTCCTCCCGCGTATTTCTCGTTCTTGTCCGTCGATGTCCGTGCCACCTTGCCGTTGCCGTCCGTCAGCAAATTGCCGCAGATCACCGCTCTCGCTCTCTTCCTTCTGATGGTCGTGACCAGCTTCCCCACCTTCGTGTCCACCAGGCACCAGGGAGTCTGTTAAATGGAGTGCGTCCTCGCCCCACACGCTGCTTCCTTTTCTAACGTCATTTTCTTCATCACCTTCTCTTCCTTCAATTCTTCCAGCCGCGGAATGTCTTCGTCTGGGTTACCCTTTTACTCAGGTCATCTTCTATTCCTTGATGACCTTCATTCTGTGGAGCTCCTCCAGGCCAGGCAAGTTGGTCGCGAGCGTGGTGGGTTTCCTCCTCGGATGACAATCCGTATACACGGCAAAATCAACTCTTGGAACAGCAGACATTCGACAATTCAATCCTTGAGGATTGAAACCTGCAAGCCCTAGCCTTCCAAGACCTGATGCAGGAATAGCTCTGCCGGCTCTGCGCCCCCTGAAGAAAAAATGGTACCGAGAGAGCTGGAGAAATGTACTTCGAAGGGATGAAAACGCGCAGCCCGCAGGAAGTCATCAGAACGCCAAGTGCGATGACGCAGTCGGCTGCATTTAACTTGACGACCATGTTGCGCTGCAAAGGTCCGTCTGGTTGCCGGCGCGCATTCTCGTTGCGTATCACAACTGCAGGCTCAGCCGGAAGAGGCTCAAGGCTCTTGACCTATGGTTTGCTCAAACTCGTATTTGGTAGAGGTCATCTCTGTAGAATCATTTCCACAAAGTTCCTGAACCAGTCTTTGTATAGCTGGACATGTATGCCTCAAACCCCCTAAGAGAAAAGGGTAACGGGGCAGCCAGAGATATGAACCTAGCAAGAGTCAGGGCGTTCACAAATATAGAAGTGCTTCTAGGAATCTACTTATTCTACAATAGGAAAATATATTCAACATATTCATACAAAAAACATAACAAAAACATGTAGGTTGTATATTTAAAGATATTTCACCCAACCAATAATTTAACCGCTCAAAAAACCTGATAATAAAATTGACGTACAACATTTATGTTTAAATGTATAGGATTTTTCCAAATATCCGGGGATTGTTCTTTGAATTCTGGAGTTTCAGTATCTAGAATAATTTAGATTTAAAAGGAAGTTATAAAATCAGAATTAAAATAAACAAGCCGGAAATATGCTCTTCGTATTGTATAAACAACTTTCTAGCCAATTAGTTACTGGGTAAGCTTGGTATATAAGATATACGGAAAACAAGAAGCGCTACAAAGCAAATAATGCTAATCGAATCAAAGAGGGAACAAGACATAGTATGCCAACCATTGTAAAGAAATCAAAGCCAAGTATGATATAGATAATCTAACTGAATAAGAAGGTGAAGTCTGTAATTATCAGATTAAAAAAAAACCTAGCCGGTCTAGATATTTGAAAATGTAAAAAAACATCTTGATAATTTAGACGGTCTGGACTACGGCGTTTATGCTTGTAGCATTTTATGATGTTTTTTTTGATTATAGAATGTTTTGGGAATGTTAGGAGTGTTGTGACGTGCTGTGATGAAATGTGGGCAAACTGTTGTGAACATTTGTGTGATAATTGTGGGCTCATGACTCCCCAACCACACCCCACTTGCCACGTTCTGGTTCTGATGGAGCAAAGCAGGCTACCTTGCATGCCCACAATGATCCAACCCCCCTCCCCAAAAAATTGTTGAAAGGGGGTGTATGGGGCAGGGATTTTTCAGTTTTCAGTTGCAGGGTTCAGGATTGCTTTTCAACAAGCAAACCATTTTGTTCAAAACACCAAGGGGGGTTGTGGGGATGTTTCTTACATTTTTCCTTTAATAACAGTCTAACATTTGGACATTTTCATGGTTCAGGTTTCAGACCATTTTTAAGCTTTCTAGGGGATCTTCATAACGCGACTTGCCACCGGTCAGGTATCTCATCCTGTTCTTCGTCTTTCACGCTGTCGTGTTCGAGGGGTGGTTTCGACTGTATGCTGTGTTGTGTTTGTGTAGGTGTGTTGTGTGGTTGCTATTTCTGTTGATGGTGTCATCTATGTCATTAACCTGAAACGGTGCGCCTGACCTGTTTGTTGCTGAAAGCGACAGTGTATCATTTGTCACACAATGTGCTTTTGAATCCAACGACTGTTTGTTTTTGCAGACATTTAGCATCAGTGAGCTTCACTTTTGTGACCCTTTCTGTTGTATAGCGATGGCGTCCAAGTCATCCACTGGCTATGTGGATGAGGAAAAGACCACATTGCCACCACCGTAGTTGAGTCCGATGATGGCAGTGAGGATGAGACCATGGAAGCGTTTTGCGAGAAGATAGAATTGAGGAGATTGAGACTCTTTGGGGCGAGGTGAATGAGCAGGCATCAAAGGTGATGGGGCGCTACACAGGGGTGAAGAAGAAGTATGATGAGATTAAGCCAAAAGCCAACGAAGACCAAAACCCATGAGAAGTTCAGTTTGACGAAAACCCGCTCCAGCTTGACGCGACCAGCACCATCTCCGACATCCGCAACGAGGTTCGTAACAAGCTCGGACACATCTTCAAGACGATGACCGCTTTGAAATCCAAGGCCTACATGTTTGGTGACAACATCTTGAACGAGCACAGCAGACGCAACATCGGCACTTGGGGAATCACCAAGGACTTGACCATCACAATCAACGATGATGTCCCCAAAGAAGGAGAAGAAGAAGTCACAACCATTCGGCTTTTCTGCATCCAGCTCATCCAAGAAGTGATGAATGTGTAAAGATCTCCTCAACCACCAGGTGAAACCTTTGACATTACTTTTGCTTTTCGTCTGATGGTTTCGTAGCGAGGTTGTCATGTATGACATTTCCGCTGTTGCTTTGGCAACGATATCACACAATGCTTAACCATGAAAATGGAGTGTTGTGTGATGGCAATTCCGAACCTTGTGTTTGATTGCATTGGATGCTTTATATGTATTACATCAATTGTAGATAAATTGGTTCCATCATAATAAGTTGATACTTCACTTGTTCCCATCTTTGCAGTAGTCGTTGAAGCGTTATCCAAAAATAAAACCGTTGTTAAATCAAATGATTGAATGGCATTAGTTGCTAAATAAGCATTTTGAACTGCTAAGTTAGTATCACCGGTTTTTAATGTTCTGCCATTAGGTGCTATGTGATTACTTCTTCATGCACCTCCAGTTTTAACATAAACATCATCAGCAAACAAATTGCCCATAACATCAGCGGTTGCAGTGTTAAAAGTCCATCCAGTAGACATATTAACAGCTCCTACTATATTAGATTGAACAGCAGGGTCTCCACAAATGAACCTAACTGAAGAATTAGCATCAGTATTCCTCACACCGAAAGATAAAAAAGCACTAACATATCTGTATAATTCACAGCTTGTGCCAGTTGTTAATTTACAATCAGTAGCAATATTAACATTATCACAATTAACAACAGCATTTGTATAAATATTACCGGACACATCAACAGGTTTATTAAAAATCGTTCTATTAACTAATCCATCACACATAAAGTATTGATTGGAAGCATTTGTAACATCACCAACACTAACAGCAACGAAATCATTATGAGCCATATATAAACCTTCTATAGCATCTGGCGTATATCCTTGTATCGAACCATTATTCTTAAAATTCAAATATGAAACATGATTAAGACTTATTGCCTTGTCAGTTCCTACAAACTGAGCTGCATCAGTAGATCTTGCTTGACCAGAACAGTTTAAAACATAACCATTAACACCAACAGCACCTAAACCGAACCTATCCTTGACCCACACACGACCAACATTAGCAT